AAATTACGAACTGGTGGCTCCGACTGGTGATGATTTCTTGAGCTTTGAACCGACAATATCATAGATTTCCTGATCCTCGATCCAACTACATATTTCTTAGGGGCCTGGAAACAGTTATGAGTTATACCCTTCAGTTGGTATGATCGTAGACAAAGTTTTAATGAGTAATAACCTTTGAAATTACCAGTTTATGAGTCACTCGCGCAGTATCTTGAGTTCGCTTTCGAACTGCTATGAATTTAGGTTGTTTTCAGTCGGAATCTTGGCCTCCCCTACTAAGCCTTCGCTATTTCGATCGTATTAAGCCATGCACATGGTCACTGTTTAAAAACGTTCAAATCAAAACATTTTTATTCAAATTTATATGTCTTTAATATATTATATTTGCATCCAGTCCCAGATAGTATTTATTATGTTATATTTCACTGTCTTACATTTATTCATTGAGCATAACACTTAGATAGGGTGAAGCTGGTGTAGTGACAAGTGGCGCACTATCTTACACACATGATCACCTGCTCGAATCCCGGCTTGATAATCTAACCAAGCCTTCCATTCATCTTGGGTTGGTGAATTGGTACCAGAACCGTCTGGGAGGATAGAAGCAGACTTTATCCTTCAGACTTTATTTTGATTATTGGGTTCAACACTGACCAACCTTCGATCTCCCTTCCAACTGTGTCTCTAAAAAATCTGATCCTGAACACAGACCTTTACTGATCTGGAAGCTTAGTATTCCTGAAGGTTGACTTGTGGCTGCGCCACTGGTACCTGTTTCTTATACTAGTAATCCACAATAATGTTGAACAGTTCTTACCTGCTGAGTTGACGGGGTAATCCAGGCATTACCAGTGAAGCCCCAAGCTTGGTCAATGGAGCCCTCATCCCAGACCCTACTGGGAGAAGTAATCTTGGACGCTGTCACGTTATGAATTTTCGTCATTGTTTGCTCTAGCAACATAATCTTTACTGCGTCTAACGTCAACATCATGTTTTTAGATGCAGAACGAAGTAATTTACGTGCCGATATGGCTACTAAGGTTTTTTCACGGTTACCGTAACCGTTGCATGAACAGTAGTTTCTCTCGGATCTACGGTCACAATGGTTGAACCAATTCGATGATTACGGTACATTCTCTATGCCGGTGATAACCGGCGGTCACAGTGATCAACTCAAAGGTGATGTTTCCCACTAGGAACTCAATTCGATCACGTACCGAAGAGAGTTACCGATAAGCTCTTTGGGTTCCGTGACTGGAGCTATCAGGTATAGTTATGTAGTAATCCTATGTGGGAATTGCTTCCATCACGTTGATAAGATCGCATTCGGTACCAGCCACCGGGCTATTTTTGGACTCTGGTCCCTATCTCGCTATCAGAAGCCTGCGGTTTGCTGAATTTGAAGCATACGTGAGAATTCCACGCTCCCAGTAGTAGTAAAATCGTGACAGGGAACGATTTTTATGTTCATTCCAAGCATTTATAACGTGCTTCCCGATAATACGTTCTCATACAAAGTAGAGCTGCTCACGAAATGTAACCAAGCTATTTCGTAGAGGAGGTAGGAAGAGAGAAATTTGGATTTGTTAGTACGACCGTATATCAGAGTTGACTTGACGAATTTGGCTGTTAAACCTCGAACCTGGATGTTTAGGGACCTCTTGATTCTCTTAAGAGAAGCGCATGATACGTAAAGATATTGGTCCGTTCCAGCCAAGTTGACTTCTCTCCGTGAGTGCTTCTCTTGAGAGAGCGTTTCAAGACTATAGATCCTTTCGGACTATGTCGATCAGCCTGTGATCAAAAGTTCCCACCAGTCCTTGGGTGGGATCAGAGGAAGGAGCCGTAAAAAATTTCTACCGTGAATGATTAAATTTTCATTGGAAGGGTATTTGGCCACCAAAGGTCTCTCCTTTCTTGATGCTTGGCTGTAGCATGGATATAAAGGTTTGATAGTAATTACAATAAAATGGAAGTGCCTGGAACTTCAAAAATACATCAAAAATCATAGTACTAAGGTTAAGTTACTGATAGTGTTGCATTTGCATAGCGGCGACATCAGTANTTCAAGACTAACTGGTTGAAATACACGCTCTTTCGGACTATGTCGATTAGCCGGTGATCAAAAGTGCCCACCCATCCTTGGGTGGAAACCTGAGCGATTAGGCGTGAAAAATTTCTACCGTGAATGATTAAATTTTTATTGAAAGGGCATTTGGCCGTCAAAGAGCTCTCCTTTCTTGATGCTTGGCTGTAGCATGGATATAAAGGTTTGATAGTAATTACAGTAAAATGGAAGTGCCTGAAACTTCAAAAATACATCAAAAATCATAGTACTAAGGTTAAGTTACTGATAGTGTTGCATTTGCATAGCGGCGACATCAGTAACTAAAAACTCGTTTGGTCACTTATTTCACACCGGAACCTGGCATCAGGCCTAAAATAACGAATGAAGTGTGCCTTTAATTGTAATCATTTTCGGCGAATTCTTTTGCTTTT